CATTCATAGGTATAATTATTTTATGACTCTAGAACCTTAGAACTCAGTACCACTCAGGTGAACTATGTGGTTATATATTTTTTATAAGATAATATATATAAGGTAAACTTGGAATGTTTTGTTTACTTGTATCTTTAAGGTTTTATATAACTCAAAAAAATGATTTTATATAACTGAAGCATCAACAACACATGCCACAGTTAAATGTTCAACTGGATATACTAGCTTCAGGTAGACTCATGTTCTAGTTATGAAAGATTAATTGAAAATTAGATCTGTGCTTAATGAAGACTGGAAAAAGCACTATAATATAAAATTACAGAATTTAGGGTTTAGAAAATTATATTTATATTATAAAAATAATCCACAGAATATATTCAGTCTAGAAAATATTTAGTATCAACTATCCTTGCATGTGGGCATTAAAAAAGTTCTCTTCCATATTTATTTGCAACATGTAGATGCTTCATTACTATAAATACAGTGGTGTATATATTTTGGTTGTCTAATTAGAAAAACTTGAGTTTATTAAAAGACCTGGTCTTTTAACACTTAATGATCCAAACATTGTATTTAATAAGTTAACTGACATCTTTAGTGATACAAATTAACATGAAAAGTATTAGAAAATTTTTATCACTGCATTATTTTACTAATCTCTTATACAATCTTTGTGCTAATATTCTGTTATCACAAATATGTGCAGATGACATTCAAATTTACTCTCCCAACCCAGATCTGAATTTCTAAGATAACACTTAATGTCACTTTGGCATTTTAAACCTAAGGTGATTAAGACCAACTACAACGGGCACCTGGTAGCTCAGTGGGTTAAGGGTCTGCCTTTAGCTCAGGTCATGATCCCAGGATCGTGGGACCCAGCACCACATCTGGCTCCCTGCTCAGCAGGGAGTCTGCTTCTCCTTCTCCCTCTGCCCCTACCCCACATCGAGCACATGCTCTCTCTCTCTCTCTCTCTCTCTCTCTCTCAAATAAATAAATAAAATCTTAAAAAGACCAAATACAAATTCTCCACCTCTAAACTTTTTTTCCCTCATTGTTTCTTTTATCTGGTTAATGTTCTACTTCTAACCATCTCTGTACCTAAAAATGTCTTTTGTCCCTACCTTTCCCAATCATATCATATACTTCCCAGTCGAAGACTCCTAAATTTTTTTGCAGTTTGCCATATTCTCTCTCTTACCCCACCACACACACGCACACACAGCTTTTCATTGTTGCTGCAGTTTATCTGAGCCAACCAGATTGTTCTGGTCTCCTGCCCAAGATATGGTTTGTGTCTGTCCACTCCATGACTCTTTAATATTGTCCTATGAAGTGAGGTGTTAAAAAATTGGGCAATATACATTCATTTTCTTAAAAAATATCAATTACTACCCTTTTTGGTAATCAATGATCAGCTTCACATTTCACGTTTAATCTGTATATAACCATTTTTAAGTAAGAGAACTGCAAGTACTCCAATTTAATCAGAGTATAAGGTGTGTTGAACAAAGTAAGTTCCACAAGCATTAACATTAGTGTATTTATCAAATCTTTCAGCTTTGTAATCTTAGGAACTTGGTTTCTTCAACACTTTGTATATTCATCTGTGCCCTCCAAGAAGCAGATGCCAAATTGGGATTATACACATAAGGATTTTGATAGGGAAAATGTTCTTGTAACAACAACAACAAAAATAATAAGGGAGCCAAGGAAGACTGGAGAGCCCTCACACTACAATATTTGATTGAAAGGAAAGAGAGATGGAAGGGCCTAGACTGTCCTGGTGCAACAACATTAAAAGCAAGTTCAGGGGCGCCTGGGTGACTCGGTTGAGTGTCCAACTCTTGGTTTCCACTCAGATCATGATCTCCAGGTCGTGAGATCGAGCCCCGTGTAGGGCTTCATGCTTGATGGGGTGTCTGCTAGAGATTCTCTCTCTCTCTCTCTCTGTCTCTCTCCTCCCCCTTCTAAAATAAGTAAATAAATCTTAAAAAGAAACAGCCAGTTCAGCAAGGTTGTCAGAGAATCCTTGAAGCACAGGCAGAGGGATCCCGTGACTCCCAGGAATGGGCCTATTTTAGCATCTTGACCACATTTGGTCATTGACTAGGAGTTGTCCTTGGGGAGCATGGCCTTGGGAGCAATAGGATTTCAGAAGAGAGCAACTGGGATTCTTAGTCAATTACATCTGTAGTCAGAGGTCTGTATTCTCCTGACCGCCACAACCCTGGAAGATGATCCATTTCTTTAAACAAAGTATCTAGCTAAGCTCATAGAAAACTTGATTATATATCAACAATAGTTGTTTTGCTTACACTAAGAATTAACCCACAGAGTCAAATATTCATAAGATAAACAGATTCTCTCCAGGTTAGCAGGTTTCTGTCTAGAAGCTGAATTCCAATCTGCAGTTGGATCGGTGAATGTAGACTCTGAATAAAGTGTTTCAAGTGGACAGTTCAAACTTTAATGACACTAGAGTATGACATTAGCTATTGTTACCTCCATACTAGGGCTGTACCTGCCCTACAAGAAACGTGTAGATCACACCTGGGCCTATGCACCCTCCTTTGGACAGGAGAGGAAAAAGGCTGCTGAAGTATGCCTCTCTGACTTCGGTCTCTCATGTTCCATGCTGACCAGCGCCCTCTGTTATTTGTTGGTTTTTGCAGAAAATAAACCACCAGAATGCTGACTTAAAGCACCACTTTATTATTTATTTCTACCCATTCTGGGGGTGAGAAGGTGATTTTCCACTCTTCATCAACTTGACTCATATTGGATGGCCCAGGATGGCCTCAATCACATGTTTGGGAACTCAGATGGGATGGTGGGAGGGAAGGGGTGATTGGAGCCTCTCTCCACATGGTCCTCATTATCCAGAAAACCAGCCTGGGCTTCTTCACCTGGTGGCAAGAAAGGGCAAGCCCCAGTATGGAAGCAGTTTTCAAGTCTTTGCTTTTGTCACCTTTCTTCTTGTCCAATTGGCTAAAACAAATCACCTGGATAATTCTAGAGTCAGTGTGATGGGACCTTTCCAAGATATGGATGCAGGGAGGCCTGATCAAATTGGGAATTATTCTTTCATACTGTCTGGTTAATGTTTCTCCTCCTTCACCCTTATTTTCTCCCCAGTCTCTTCCTCCCCCTCTTCTTTATGAGACCACATCCACATTATTACATTTTCTGATTCTAGCATAAAAGTAAAATTTACATATATTGGATTCATCTGCAATTTCTTAATTTTTAAATTTCAGTGTTGCCAACAAGGAAAATCTATCTCATTTTATAATTCATAAGGACCCTGAGAGTTCATGGGTTTTCCTCAGATAAGAAACTGCAGTGATCCTCTTGCCAATTAGGAATATTACATGGGAAAATAATGGAAATTAATTTTTCATTTTAATGGTGGCTGATCAGTTCACTCAGGTGAATTATCAGTTCATCAGAAGTAACAATTCATCACATTCCCTGATCCTAATGAAATAATAGACATGTTTATTCTTCAATTTGATGGTTGCTTGAATGTGAAAATTAAGAAGTAGAAGTGGAATATATATATTACAGTGGAAACTGTAATTTTCTACTGTATAGCTCTTCTGTCAGCCAACTGCACTTGAACCCATTATGAGGTGCTGAAGAGGATGAACATGAAAGCAACATGTTAAAAATAAGAAGATAAATGCTTTGGAGTGACTAGTACTTCTGCTTATAATCAAGGCAATTTTGGGAGCATAAGATAAAGCTGTGCATTAGAAATCCTTGTAGGCTGAATGCATCCCTGCCTTTTTCTAAACAGAGGTGTGTAGGTGAGGATGCACAGTGTTCAGTTAATATTACTGTAGACATATATGCAGAGCTAAACTGGCAACATTGGTGAGATGATATACTTGGCTTTTGGGCCCACAACTAGGCTTCAAACATCATTTCTGTCAGCCTGCCCTTTACAGATATTTCTAGTGTCCACTTCTAGGCTCCTCTCCAGCACTAGCAAATCCACTACAGTGATTTCACTTAAACATAGGTTTACTGAAAAAGAATTTAATCAGATTGGCCATTTGGTAAAAATAACCAATTATTCAGTTTTGTATTATTCAAGCAAGGGTGTGTGTGTGGGGTGTGTGTGTGTGTGTGTGTGTGTGTGTGTGTGTGTGTATTAATAAAAGGAGAGACAAGTAAGACTGATATTTGTTTTTTATTTTTATTATTTTTATTATTTTTATTTATTTTTTTTAAGACTGATATTTGTTTTTTAAAGAGTATTCATCGTTAGTGACCCAAATCCATTCTTTGGTCCCATTAAAATGATTGATATATTTCCACACTGATGAAAGATAAAGAAAGTCCCTTTGACTTTGACTGAATCTCTGGTTATTGCTGTGAAATTTGCCTTTTACTATGGCTATCTTTCCATCATCCCAACGCTAGAACACAGAAAATTCCTTATTTTTAAATATTGTCCATCAAGTTGTTTGGTTGGATCGCACAGCTTCTCAGTTGTCTGAAACTGTGCCATATGATTTGCCCTTCTTTATGATTTTAACACAGTGTCTACTTCGGGCCTTGAGATTGCCCCTTTTTGGTTTATGCATCACTAGCTATTTGAGTATCATGCAGTCATTCGCAATTTACACATACCATCCCAGTAGAGTTGTTTTTCGGTAATCTTTATGCTAATCATCACTTTGGTATATTCCACGATTTTGTTCTATATTGCTGCCTTTCCTTTTCTGGCTAACACATCAAGTGATATCCCAGCACATTTCATCTGATTTCCTGCTGAGTACTTCCTTGATAAAAGAAGCAACTTCAATTTCTGTATATAAAAATAGGAATTTAAAGTATATACACTTCTACATCATTTTAGATTTTCATATACAAGGCTCCAGGAAATAGATGAAAAATGTCCTTTCATACTGTGTTTGTTCAGCTCTAAGAACCCCCATGCCCCATTTTAACTCATCAGGTCATGTTCTTTGTTTTTGTTTCCCTAGGACTACAATGATGAAATTCGCCAGGAACAACTACGTGAATTATCTTACTTAAATGGCTCAGAGGACTCTGGTCGTGGCAGAGGTATTAGAGGCAGAGGGATCAGAATAGCTCCCACAACCCCTTCAAGGTACATTAGCTCTCACTTGAAATGAATTAACAGCAAACGAGGATGGCAAGCCTTTGCCAACCTGCTCTGTGCCATGGTCACAGCTAGGAATAAACAACAACACCAGCCACCACGACAAAAACCATGACATTGAATGCTTACATAATGCATAAGCACTTTCATAAATTAACTCATCAAGTCTTCTGTACTGGGGTTAAGTATTATTCACAGGTGACAAATCGAGGTACAGAAAGGTGTCAAGAATTTGCCCAAGGTTACACAAGCAGTCTGACTCTAGAATTCACAGGTAGAGCTTTTAACAACTATCCTAAGAAAATAAGAGGTGCAAACCTGAGACTTTCTTCTTGGTGGTTCTGTCCTCAAGATTAGAGCATGCAGATGATACAATTATTTTTTTGAACCAGGATGACATTGCATGAAGAGAAAGTTAAAGATGTGTCTTTCTGGATTGGTAGAGAGACAGGTGATGATTAGCTAGGTAGGTAGACACTTAGATGGATAGGTAGATAAAAGATGCACCACTAGTCCAGAAATCCAGAAGCACACTTCTTGTATGGCTGATGGTAAGAGTATTGAAAGTTCAGGTACATTTGACTTTGCAATGTCTTTGGTCAACAGAGAGGATTTTATTGGGTATTATTCACTTTGCAGAAAAAAAAAAAAAACATTGGAATCTTTCTGCATCAGAATTTGTTTTGTACAATTCTGAATTAGTCAAGCTTTCAATAGAAAGCATTGGTTTGTGAAGAGGTAAGGTAAAAGATACTCACAGCCTTTACACATAGACTGTAATTCAGTCATTCTCTCTACCCTGTTAGAGCTGGCCTTCAAATCTCTAAAGGATGTAGATCTAGAATATTATTTTATACCTTGCACAGAAATCATCTTCAGAGATTTTAGGATACTTTGCTGATTCAATTTGTTTATTAAATTATGCCCCAAATATTGTCAACCACCAATGTCAAAAAATCAGTTTTAACATTTAAATCATAAACACCTCCATTTTGTAGTTAATCAGAAAAAAATAAAAAATGATAAATATCATAAATATCCAAGTAAAATACCAAGGCAATAGCTATTTAAGAATAAAATGTGGCAATTCTGAAAATTACGTTTGACTAAAGGAAAACTTAAAATCTTCTAGAGATTATTACATTTTTATCCCTAAAGATGAAAATAAGAGCTCTGTAATGCTAATTAGGAACATTTTTTATTGCTAAAAATTAATGTGACATAACTTTTTTATGGATATACTTTTTATGGAATCAGTCTTTTATAAAACCTTGTATATTTCTAACCTCATCATGATGGGTTGTGAAATGATATCATTGCAGGTAATCCTAAATTGATTAAATCATATGCCTTAAATAATGAAACTGTAACCTAATATATATTTAGTTTTATGTGGTGTAACCAAATATATATTTAGAAAGTCTACAAAGGGGGGACAAGTTTTATTCTATATTCCTGAAATTAGGACAATTTAAAAAAAAATAATGCATTAACTTGCTTTTGAGATTATAAAATCTTATTAATAGATTTTGTTTTGTTATTGATGGTCCTTAATGTAACATTATATTTGAGTATTTGAGTGGATCATATAAGATTTCAATTTCAGTAAAGTTCCATTCTAAAATATTAATCTTTAATGGTTTAATAAAGAATAGTGCATTGTGGTCTAGATTTTTAAATATGTTAGAAAAAAATTTGTTTGAAAGTTTTGTTTTTTAATATCCCATATATCATACAAATCTGATACTACATATGTAAAAAGAAGATAAAATTGTTGAAATTTAAACCTCACTTCAGTGCTATATTGATATCATTAATGTATTAACGTTAATGAAAGTAAATGGACCAGAATTCTGTTGTCTTCTATTTCAAACCACATGATGGAAAGTATCTACAATTAAAAAAGAACAAGGAAACAGCTTCACAAAACAGAAAATCATATTGATTAGAAAGCTTTTGAAAACATGAGTTAACGGATGCTAATTTGTACATACTTATGAAATTATGACTTTATTAAGTCATTCAATTGCACCTATATTCAAAAAGAATGGTGCCTGGGATATTTGAAAACTTCTATAATAATTTGTTGAAAATGTATTTAATTAAAGCAATTTTCATTTCAATAAATATATCTATAAAAACTAATCTTCCAGTAATTATGCATACCAGAGAACAAAGCATTATGTCTATATAATAATTTATAGTACATAATTAAAGAATTAAGATATTTGACATCTCTGACACACATTATCACTATATATTGATTGAGAGCAAACTGCAGAGAATAAAACATTAGGGGCAGATTTTGGAAGCTTTTGTTTACTACAATGAGAATTAATACATAGAACTAATGGAGTTTGTGAAAGAAGGGAGTAATCATACTTGTTTCTAAGAAAGACTACTCAGTCATCACTGTAAGTGAGAGAGAAAAATTAGAGCAGTCAAAGAGAGACAGACAGAAACACACTGACTTATGGCATGGAAGCCAGTAAGAAGACAAGTCCATTATCCAAAACAGAAAACACTCTTTGGACTATAGAGATACAGTACTAGGTTAGAGATTAGAGTTTATAGGAATTAGTGTCCAATCAGAGGTTGGAGAAGAAAGGATATTTGGCCCATAACAAGGATAACTCTCTGATGTCTAGCCTAGTTAGAGATTAATGACATCATCAACTAAGATTAGGTGAAGAACCAAGTTAGACAAAGAATATAATTATTCCTATAATTAATTCAAGGTCTATGGATTGGTAGTGTGACCTTGAGCAAGTGACTTGTACTTTCCATGACTTGGTACTGAACCTTTAAAATATCTCAGGATTAGCTACATAACAACGTTGTCGAGATTTTTAAATTAAGTGATACATATAAGGCAGTGGTTCCCAAATTGGTCTGCACTTCAGAATCACTGAGAGTTTCCTGCCGTTAGAGATTGTGATTTAATTGGCCTGGGGTGTGGCCTGGAATTTAGAATTTTTCAAAGTATTCAGGAAATTCTAATATGCAGACAAGTGAAGGAACCTCTGATATAAGGCATATAATCCAGGATATGGCATGTGTTAGGAATGAAACAGGTAATAGTCATCATTAGCGTTAGAGAATGCAAGAGTCCAAAGAAGACATTTTCCAGCTAGTAATCAATCCACAGAGATAAATATAACAAGTGCAGTGGAATGGGGACTGTAAATGAATCCAGTGGATTTGGAAACTGGTAGGTTACCGGTAATCTCAGTCAAGAGTATTTTCAGCAAAGTGGGGAGGCAATAACTAGATTACATTCAGTTCGGGAATGAGCAGTCAGTAGAGAATTAAGGATGGAAAACTTTCGAGAAGTCAGAAAAATGAAGAATACTGCAGTGTAGATTCAACCAGGGCCAGTATCCTAAAATAGGTGATGTGAAATTTCAGTTGAATTGGGGAAGAGGGATGTGAGATTAAAATTCCAAGGAAAGGACACAACGTATAGGAGATGATGAATCAGATTCAGGAGATAGGTTGGCTAGGGCTGTGTTTGTGATGCAGCTGGGAGAGGAATGGGATGGGAAATCAGATTTGATATGAGCATCATACAATTTAAAAAAAAAATTTTAGAGAGAGAAAGAGAGAGAGCTTGAGCAGGGAGAGGAGCAAAGGGAGAGGGAGAGAGAGAATCTCAAGAAGACTCCCCGTTGAGCACAGAGCCCCACATGGGGCTCAGTCTGACCATCCTGAGATCATGACTCGAGCTGAAATCAAGAGTCGACGCTCAACCAGCTGAGCCACCCAGGTGTCCTGAGCATCATACAATTCTAAAGCAGGAAGAATTGTTACAGATTCAGAGATCTGATTTTACCCATTAGGAAAAAAAAAAAAAAAGAAATCCACCTTAAGCCCAGGGAGTTATACCACTTACTCACCTGTGATTATTCAGTGGGATAGACAGCACTTGTGAATGTAGTGTAAAGCAGGGTGACATATAATTTACTACCCACACCTGGGTACTTTTCAGAGTGTTAAAGTGCTAAACTGAACAGGAAGCTAGGACAACAGTTGTAAATCAGAACTATTCTAGGCAAACCCGGACATATGCTCACGCTACTTAGGAGAAAACAGATTGATACTTGGAGGCCCAGTGGAAGTAAAGTTGGTCTTTACATCCTTTTCATAGATGTGTTTTATATTATCATGATAATATAGTATAGTGTATTCTCAGCTATTGTTGTATTTGAAGCAGGCACCGGGCCTTCTGGGTCTTTTGTATTTCACCTTCCCCAATCCAGGAGAGCATTCTCTGTACATTAGACTTAAAAGAAGTTCTCTGATAATTTCTCTATTCATCAGCTCTATAATCTATTTAAAACTTTTAAAAACTCTACCAGCATTCTTACTGTTCACTCACAAAAGCTCATTTTTCTGCAAGCAAGAAAGAGCCAGCTGACTGCTATTCATAGCAGAAAGCATAACCTACATCCCCCATCTGTGGACACAGCCAAACAGTGTGATTGTTGACATCCCAATGATCATTATTTTTCCCAAAGCTTTAGCGTTCCTGCTGAAAGCAGTGCTTTCTGGAGGCCAGCCTTTCAGACGTAATAAAAAGTGAAATAACCACGCTTTTGCCCAAAGACTTCAAACACTCAACCTTTCCAAAGGCCTTGGAAAACCATAAAAGTTGGCTGCAACCATTTGATCTTAGGCTTTTAATACAAGTTACTTTTGTGTCAAGCACCATAGTACAGAGCATTCAGTCTTTTTTTTATTGCAGAATCCTGACGTATTTCACTAACACCATAGTTACCCTAGGAAAACAAATTATATTAGTGATGGTACCAGTTCAGGGGGTTGTATGCATGATGACAAATCAGTGACAATGATTTGTGATTTCAGTGACCTCAAGCTTCAGCTACTGGAAGAAGCAGAATGATATCACCGTGCTTAGAGTTCCACATTTTACTAAAGTATGACAGTGCAGAAAGATTTTTTTTTTTTGTAAATACAACATTGCATCTCACTGTCAATAACCTCCAACATGGAGGAGACATTGACATTCAGCAGTTCAGTCTCATGGATGGTCCAGTGAGTCATACAGGTTTGCCTTGCTATCCAGCATGCCTATGAGACCTTTCATAAGCTGAAATGGCATAAAGCAAAGAAGCAATTACCATTAATTTACATGGAAATTTTTTTTGAGTGTTCCCAGACCCCGGAAAAATAACCTCTCAGGCTCTTCTGGTACTGCTAATGGATGCACAAAATAAATGGAGATAAAGCACAGATGTTCACATAGTTCAAAGCTCTGGCGGCTTGATGTTGAAATGCTGAGTGTAGTTCCTGGGGAAGGAGCTTGGTGGGGCCCTCTAGCTGCTCGGGGTGCACGCTGCCCCTACAATGGCCTGCTACAAAACAAATGCTGAACATTAGTTTTGCTTTTCACAGTTTTCAGAAAAGCAGGAATCTTCTGATTTCTTTCAGTTAGTGAAAACAGGTGCTAATGTAGGTCTTTTGTAAAAGCAAAGTTGGCATAAGGGGAACTTTTAAAAAGCAGGAAATATTTATATGTTAGCTGAAGCTCTGATCTGAGTCTCCTTGGCAAATCTGGAATAAAATGAGTGGGTTGGTTTGTGTTGGCTTGTTTTTTTTTTCATTTTATATTCAAGCATTTTACATGAGTTTCATTATAAGATGTCATAGCCAGCATTTACAAAATTTATTCTACTGCAGAGGTCAAAATACTTTATAGCCTAAAGAAACTCAATTACACACACACACACACACACACACACACACACACGTGCTCATGCATACAGATAAATTTGGTTTTCTTCCCATCACATGGCGGTAAGATGAAAACTATCTGTTTTAGTCTCTTTCTCTCATCCCTGGTTTCTCATCTGTACATGACCTGTTTCTCATAGGGGCCGTGGGGGTGCCATTCCCCCTCCTCCACCACCTGGACGAGGTGTACTCACCCCTCGAGGGACTACTGTGACTCGTGGAGCTCTTCCAGTACCCCCTGTAGCAAGAGGTGTCCCTACCCCACGAGCCCGGGGGGCACCGACAGTGCCGGGATACAGGGCACCCCCTCCTCCAGCCCACGAAGCTTATGAAGAATATGTAAGTACCCTTGAGAAATCAGTGGTTAGGAAGAGTTCAACTGATTGGGTAACAGGCTAACCCTCAGAGACATTCAATACCATAAATGTAGCAGATGATGTCTGTTGCAGAACACAAAGGTCATTTGCAATAGAATTTAAGCAATGCATTTAAACGCGAGCATTTTGAGAAAAGCTTTTATTTTTCAGGTGCCATAGTTGTTGGTACCAGTTAAACAGTTTGCATTTTAAGAATCAAACTATCCTGAGGTTTTCTTATTCCTTAGGAGACCAGTCTCAAAATGGAAATAATTATGAATATAATGTAAATTGTCATATACTCAGAAGTTTCTTCTGGGACATGTTAAAGATTAGCATAAAAATCACTCAGAAGTATTTGACAGATACAATGTGATTGTATTATAAACTTTGGTAATAATGTAAGACCATGCGACGGGTCTTTCATTTAAATATCCTTGCTCTCTCTTTCACCATATGAAACATATGGGATTGGCAGATACGAAGAAATCAAAAAATATAGAATGAGCAGAAGAAATGCAGTGTCTATAAGCATTCCGCTCCCTTCCCAGACACCATGTCACTTGATACGCCTTTTGACCTTTCATCCAGGTTGTTAATATCCCACTGGTCACATTGTATTCTAGTCCCGGTGACTAGAATATTGTGAAAATTATAAAGACAGACAGTTTCCTATTCACTTGTGTAACCACAGTAAATCTACTGTAAGTGTTAATTAACTGATGCAAGCCAGTCATCATCCTATGAAATAGATTCATTTTACCTTTAAAATTTCCAGCATGCTCATCCCTGGCCTAGGTTTTTATTTAATTCAACCACCCACAGACATGCTGTCTTCTTAAATGTCCTCTGTGAATGGTTACGTATTAAACATAAACTCTTAAAATAAATAAATAAATAAATAAACTCTTCAAGGACAGTTACTGTCACATGCCGGACACTCAAAACCTACAAATGTTTAATGAACTGGTTAATAATCAAGTAAAACTTATTCTAAAATAAAGTGAACATTGTTGATAGTTGTCACTAAGAATGTATTAGTGTTTAGAGTATGTTAGTATTTAGGAATAACATTATTGCTTAATACGGAACATTGACAAATATTTGCAAGAGTGAAGAAAAATTAAGTTTAGAAATCCATTTCTACTGGAAAAGGGGAAATGTGTTCATCTAAAGTATCTTTTATACCAAAAAAGGTCTTTTATACAGTATTAGGTATCAATATTTAAGATCTTTAGACAATCTTAAAATTGCAAAGTTAGAAACAGAAAATATATTCTATCTGGTAAACAAGACCACAGTTCAGGAAACACAGAGCCCAGTCTTGATTCTGCCATCTCTTTCCCGAGACAAAGTATGTATGAAGTAAGAACTTGTTAAATGAATGAATTAAAAATCCACACCAGGGATGATGGGATGGATTTTTTTTTTTTTTTATCTCCGGGAAACCTTCTACCTCTGCCATCTTTACGTGCATTGTTACTATGGTGTATTTGTATCTTCCAAATAGAAGTTTAAACAGTCAGATCTTTATTTCAAAAATTAAAAAAGAGAGAAAACCTTTTCAGGTAATAGAGGTCAACATTGTTATTAACCAGAAAATTTACAGGGCATGTGAAATTTACAGGGCACTGTGAAAGAGAGTAAGATTGGCAAAACATTGTGGCTTTGGTGTAGCTAAGAAAACACTGTAGCCTTTCATGTGCATTCCAATTTATAGTCAGATAAATCACTAGAGTGCAGACCCAATAAGAATAAACTACAAAAGCATAAAGAGTCTATAGAAACATGAGTGAGAAAGGTTATATTCTGAATGGGAATCTAAGAGGAGGGTAGTTCTTAGAGTAAGTAAAGGAAAATATGTAAAGCCATATAATCTGAATTTTTTACTTAGATTTTAAAGTACCCAGTCCCTTTTATTCATTCACTCAATCATTTACTGAGCCTCACTCTTATTTTAGGCACTGTCCTGAAGGTCCTGGAGATGTAGCTGTGAACAAAACAGACCAAGTATCTGCTTCCATGAAGTTTACATTTTAGTGGGAGGAGACAGAAAGCAAACACATATCAATAAATGAATGAAGTAATGCCAGGTAGACATAAATGCTCTGGAAGAGAGGTGGTGGGAGGGCGCTACCATAACATGGGCTGTCAGGGAAGGTCTCTGCAGAGAAGACTTGAACAAATGCTTCATGAAGCAAAGGTCCAGGCTCAGGGGGTGCCTCCATAAAAGGCATCCCTGGTAAAGGAAACCAGCACAAATGCCCTGAGATGGAACCTGCTTGGAATATTTGGGGAACAGCAAGGAAGACATTGAAACTGGAACAATGTGTGAGGCAGAGGTAGTAGATAAGGTCAAGGGATGGACAGGCCAATTCATGTTGCTGTTGGAGTCTTGGGCAGGAGAGTGACATGATCAGATTTACGTTTTAAGAGGTTTATTCTGCTGACATGGAGAATAGAATATGGGTGGGGTGGGCACAGAGTAGAAACAGAGACAGGTGAATGACTTTTTGCAGTCACTCCCCACAGACAGAATAATAGCTTGGAGGGGGTGAGAAGAGATCAGAGTCTGAGAGCACTGGGAAAATGATCTGTTAGGATTTGATGATGAGACAGACGTAAAACTTGTGTAAAAAAAATGAAAAGGAAAATTTTGTAAAGTTTCTGTGAAGTGCACGTTAAGCTGAAACTTGAACTGAACAAGTTGATGACATCGAGAGGTCATTTATTGAAATGAGAGCCAGGGAAGGAAGTGGAAAGTCTGGCTTGTGGGAAAGTCAGTTATGTTGCTGGGGGGATGGGAACCTGACTTGCAAAACACACAGCAGCATCCCGAGGTTTGCATTCTCACCACATCACTTGCTGTGTCGTTTATAAACAAAACACTCGGAGGCTTGGATTTCCCTTCTGCTTGGGTTTTCCCTTCTACTGGAAAGGGGTAATGGGTACCTCTAATGTATCTTTTATACAGTATCAGGTATCAGTATTTAAAATCTTTAGACAATCTTAAAATTGCAAAACGAGAAACAAAACATATTCTCCCCTATAAACAACCCGCAGGAAACCCAGAGCCTAGTCCTGATTCTGCCATCTCTTTCCTGAGACGTAGTAGGTATGACATAAGTACCTATTGAATGAATGAGTTAAAAATCCACATCAGAGATGGAGGGGTTATATGAATATAGAGTCATGAAGTCCAGTAATAGCAATGCCATCAGGCCTTAAGAAAGGCCTAACACAAGGAAATAGAAAATTGTCACGAATCCTCATATCTCATCTCTGTTCTCTGCATATGTTTCTTTTTTTTTTAATTTAAATTCAATTAACCAAAATATAGTACATTACTAGTTTCAGATGTAGTGTTCAGTGATTCATCAGTTGCGTATAACACCCAGTGCTCACCACATCACACGCATATATGTTTTTTTTTATTGTTATGTTAATCACCATATGTTACATCATTAGTTTTTGATGTAGTGTTCCATGATTCATTGTTTGTTCATAACACCCAGTGCTCCATGCAGAATGTGCCCTCTTTAATACCCATCACCAGGCTAACCCATCCCCCTACTCTCCTCCCCTCTAGAACCCTCAGTTTGTCTTTCAGAGTCCATCATCTCTCCTGGTTCGTCTCCCCCTCTGACTTACTCCCCTTCATTCTTCCTCTCCTGCTATCTTCTTCTTTTTCTTTTTTCTTAAAATATGTTGCGTTATTTGTTTCAGAAGTACAGATCTGTGATTCAACAGTCTTGCACAATTCACAGCGCTCACCATAGCACATACCCTCCCCAATGTCTACCACCCAGCCACCCCATCCCTCCCACCCCCAACCACTCCAGTAACAGTTTATTTCCTGAGATTAAGAATTCCTCATATCAGTGAGGTCATATGATACATGTCTTTCTCTGATTGACTTATTTCACTAAGCATAACATCCTCCAGTTCCATCCACGTCATTGCAAATGGCAAGATCTCATTCCTTTTGATGGCTGCATAATATGCCATTGTGTATATATACCACTTCTTCTTTATCCATTCATCTGTTGATGGACATCTTGGCTATTTCCACAGTTTGGCTATTGTGGACATTGCTGCTATAAACATTGGGGTGCACGTACCCCTTCGGGTCCCTACATTTGTATCTTTGTGGTAAATACCCAGTAGTGCAATTGCTGGATCGAATGGTAGCTCTAATTTCAACTGTTTGAGGAACCTCCAAACTGTTTTCCAGAGTGGTTGCACCAGCTTGAATTCCCACCAACAGTGTAGGAGGGTTCCCCTTTCTCCACATCCCCGCCAACATCTGTCGTTCCCTGACTTGTTAATTTTAGCCATTCTGATGGGTGTGAGGTGGTATCTCATTGAGGTTTTGATTTGGATTTCCCTGATGCCGAGCGATGTTGAGCACTTTTTCATGTGCCTGTTGGCCATTTGGATGTCTTCTTTGGAGAAATGTCTGTTCATGTCTTCTGCCCATTTCTTGATTGGATCATTTGTTCTTCGGGTGTTGAGTTTGATAAGTTCTTTATAGATTTTGGATACTAGCCCTTTATCTGATAAGTCATTTGCAAATATTTTCTCCCATTCTGTCGGTTGTCTTTTGGTTTTGTGGACTGTTCCTTTTGCTGTGCAAAAGCTTTTTATCTTGATGAAATCCCAATAGTTCATTTTTGCCCTGGCTTCCCGTGCCTTTGGCGATGTTTCTAGGAAGAAGTTGTTGCGGCTGAGGTCGAAGAGGTTGCTACCTGTGTTCTCCTTTAGGATTTTCATGGACTCCTGTCTCACATTTAGGTCTTTCAACCATTTGGAGTCTATTTTTGTGTGTGGTGTAAGGAAATGGTCCAGTTTCATTCTTCTGCATGTGGCTGTCCAATTTTCCCAACACCATTTGTGGAAGAGACTGTCTTTTTTCCATTGGACATTCTTTCCTGCTTTGTCAAAGATAAGTTGACCATAGAGTTGAGGGTCCATTTCTGGGCT